CGGGGGCCGCGCGGCCCCCCGGCTGGGCCGAAGCGGAGGAGCTGATTGCGGCATATAGCAAAGGCACAGCTTTAAATAGCTATCTTTAAACCCAGCGTAATCTGAAAGGGCTCTGTGCCTGCCGGGGCAGAGAGACGTCAAATGTCTGTAGTCTAAATGAGCTGTTGTTTAGATTAAGGGGAGTGGCAGAAACTTTAGCGAGACTGTCGACAGTTTCCAGAAGAAAAGCCACCGACACCTGCCGCGAATTGAAATGGCACTTGCTCGTGTATCAGTAGGGCGGTTAGCACATAAAACAGCAATGATCCTGGAAATGAAAGGGCAGAGAACACAACAACAACAAAAGAGCAAACAAATTCACGATTTTCTTGCAAACCTTACTTCCGTGCTCCCAAGCCCATATACACCAGTATGATGATGCAGTAAAACAATTTCTGTTAGCATGTGCCAGTTTCCAGCTAGAGCAGCCCTGGCTGCTGATTTATTCAACAGACGTCAACTGGTAGAATGTTTCCATGATTTTTTTTTCCCTTCGAGAGAATGTGCCAGGAAGAACTAAATGTTTTCACCATTTTTTGGTTTTTTTTTTGTTTTTTTTTTAGGAGAAACTTGAAAACTATTCAAGAGCCTTTAGGATCTTGACATTAGTGAGACATACAATGCTGGCATAAAAAGGTGCCGCTTGCTATGCTGGTGGCAATTCACCTCCGACAGGCCCAGCTATAATCCTCTGAAAAACACCAATTTGCCCCTTCTTGGTGGAATTGTCATAACCTTCCTCCTGAACATGCTCGTTGCCCTGCACACATCTTACAGCTCTATGAGATATTTGCATCAGGGAGGCAGCTTGCTTTCCTGCCTGTCCCATCCCATCAAAACATACTTTAGCACCAGGCAGCAAGCCAAGGTCAAGTCTCCTTTTTTTTTTGTCCCCCCCCCCCCAACTTCTGTGAATACATTATGATACAGTCTTCGGTTCCACTGTTATATCTGTTCCCACAAGACCGTTGTCTCATTCACACCAGAGCAGGGAACATGCTTTCATCTATGCCAGCTGGGCATTGCTAGAGTGCACCATGCCCGTAGGAGCTGTGCGGGGAGGACACGGAGGAGAGGCTTTGTAGATTCCCATGCACTGACGACCAAGGGGTTTGGTCAGATCCAAATCTGGAGGGATTTCCAGGGAGCCTCTCCCACTGCCTCCTTTATTGGGGTGGCATCAAAGGAAGTCAGTGCAGACAGATTCCTCTCACCTGATTTTGGATGCCTAAAAGTTAGGTGTCTAAATCTAATTAGGCAGACAGGCTTCCTGCACAGTCAGTGGAGACAAATAGGCACCCCCAGTGTATGATTCATCTCAACTATCTTGAGAAGGGCTGACTCACTCTGGAGCTAAGCGCCTGCTTCTCTCCCGTGACTGTGAAGGCAGACGGGCAACTTGCTTGGGACTCGACAGGTAACTTTTGGACCTTCCACATTAGGCAAGGTGAATCCCAGCCCTTTACCCTGGCTGTGGCAGTAGTTCTGGGAAGTGGGCACCACCACTGTGCTCTGCCCTGACACCCACCACCCCGTTTCCCTCCGAGGGTCCATTTCCAGCCCTCCTGAGCAGGGCTGGGTTTGGGCAAGTAGTTTGCCCAAATCACATTATCAGTCCATATCACATTATCAGACCAAGTTAAATATTTATAAAGCACCTGGGGGCAGGGTCCATGGCTTTCTATGTGTTTGCATATTCCCTCACAGAGAGAAGCTCCAGCACTGATTGCAGCCGTGGCAGACTCGTGCAATACAGGGTGGTGAATCTCTGTGCGGATCTGCAGGTCTTGATGAAATGCAGCTGGGAATGCAAAAAGAGCTCATGGACATTGAGAAATAAGCATGAGTGAATCATAAGAGTCAGGAGAAGCTACTAATGTGTGGGAAAAAGGCAAATGTGCTACCTCTGCACAAACATATAATAAGGAAGTATGTAATAATAATTATTGTTATTGTAATATGGTCTGGGTGAGCATTTGGGAAAAAAGATATCTAATAACTGACAAGCAATGTGGCTTGGTTTGTTTTGATCTGAAATTCAAACAATGGTTGTGTTTATAAGGTAATAATACACAGGGCACGGAGCACTGGCACCACACCAACTATGCACTCCACAATTCAGGTTTATATAGGTCATGCCAAACAAATAATAGTGTTCTTCAATATAATTACTGATTCATTAAGGAGAGCGAATGCAATTGAGTCTGCCTGGATTTCAGGGAGGTGTTAGATATGGTAAATTTATACATTTGAACTTGGATTTTGAATGTAACACTCAGGTAACCCTGCTCCTCCGGAAGTCTGTGGTAAAATTCCTATTGTGGCCTTCTCCAAACAGCATGAGAAACCTCCCATTTAGCTTTAATAGTCAATTGTGCGCCTATGGTGCTTTGATGAGAGTCTCTCTGAGCCATTTGTAACATTTTAGAGGTGGGAAACTGAACTACCACTAGATTTAGACCAGATCCCAATGTCTTGGACCTCCCACTTAACTGAGTCAATGCCATCCCCCAACCAGCTCCCCTCGATCTCTGGGGGCGCCTCGACATCTCCACTTTGGAGCTTCGGGTTCCTCGCTCCATTTCTGGCCATGTCTCTTTATGGACATTATTCCACGGTTATTTCATGGGAAAGTGACAAAGCCCAGAAGCCAGGACCTCCCCGTTGCACACGCCTGGATCACTAGCATGGCCCGTGCTCCCTGACTTAGTCATGTGTGGCCAGTTCAGTGGCCCCTGGGCGCTTGCCATCCCAGCGGCAGAGCTGGGACAGGAAGGTTTTGAGCGTGGCCCGTCAGAGTGGCTTGGGGTCCGGGCCTCTCCTCTGGCAGGTGAGGGATGTAGGGGGACGTAAAGAGGGCTGTCCCCCCAGGGAGACATCTGTGCGGGTGCGAAGAGCAGCAGGGGTGCTGCAATCACCCTTGGCGAAGGGGCTGCCGCCACCGGCTGCAGATGCAAAGAGAAGGACGCAGGCTCAGCTGATGGCGAGAGAGGACTTGGGAGGCTGCCCCGGGAGCTTTCTGCAGCAGGTCCCGCGTGGCCTTTCCATGGGGCGCGGAGCGGCATAGCTGAGGCCCCAGGTTCGGCTGCAGGGCTCTGCTTTCCCTGGGGAGATCTGGGCAGCTACGTGCGGGTGGGAGGTGCCTCCCCGCCTGGCCACT